TATGGGCCCAGCAAAGTATTAGTGTATCCTAGGTCTCTAGGCCCCTCAGCACCTGCCATGTGCTGAGGCCCAGGCCAGTTTCCTGCATCTCCACAGACCTCCTAGGGCGAGGCCCCTAGGGGGAAGAGACCTCTGCACAGTGTCCCCAGACCTTTTATTACCTGCCCTCAACCATGCCTCTGAGTCATCCTACTCAGGGATTGGCTAGGGTCAGGTGCATAGTCATAACCTGAGGATGGATCCTCCCTCACTGTATGCTAAGGCTCCCTTTTCCTCAGCAACAGGAGGAGCAATCAATCCAGCAGATTCAGGGACACCTATAGAATGCAGAGCTCTGTATAATCAGTATCTGGACTGGTTACAGTCCAGGTATCTCTAAATTGAATAGCGACATTTTAGAGGGCGCTACACCTATTATCGGAAAGATGCTTTTTCCAAAAAAAGGGAGGGGAAGACTTTCTTATATGCCAAGAAAAAAACATCAGCTCCAACAAAGACCGAGAGAGCAGTAGAGGAAGGCAAAAGGGCAAAAGCAAGCCAACCAGCACTTGAGTACTTCAGATCCTCATGGGAATGCTTCCTCCAGAATGAAAAATTTAAAAAATCTCACAGACTGGGAAGTCTTCAGAGAAGACTTTCTGAGGCCCACCTGTCCCAATGACTCTGGTGGGGGCAAGGGGCGGTCTTTAGGGTAGTCTGGGCAGATCATGGACAGATGGGTTCAAGATGTTGTTTGAAGAAACTACCAAATAGTTTTTCAAGCATTCCCCTCACCCATACTATGTCAAGACCAAGATCCCATTGGAGCAGGAGATATTTGCATGTCTACATGCTACATAGGAGATCTCTTGCATTTAGAGGCAGTAGTTCCAATTCGAAACTGGAGTGGAAATCTGTCGACTTGCCAATCTTTCTTGTAAGAAAGGAAAGGTTTTGGCTGGTACTGAATCTGAAGTGACTGCACACCTTTATTTAGGGACTGGGAAGCTGCAATATAATACATTTTCGTTTTTGGGCTTAGATTTAATCATTTGTTAACTGAATCATAAGAAACACTGAAAAAAAGCATATTTCAACTCAACCATAAAGACACTCTTGAGGACCAGCATCTGCATAGCTCTTATGCACACCAATAATTTCAACATTTCACTGTTATTACTGTATGGACTTATTGATTTCACAATAAAGTTGTCAACACTTATGATGCCAAAGTGATTTGTACAATGCACTATACCTAAAGTATGAGTGTAGGCAGATATGAAATACCTCCATTTAAATGAGAACTGTGGGGTACACCTTTTTTTGAGTTTTGAGTTTCCTTATGATACAGGAGTACATTTTGCAATGCACCATAAGCTTACAATTCAGTGTAATATACTGTGGGTTGGGCTAAGCTCTGTGCTGAGAAGCGATCCTGACAATATTGTCGGGATCCTCCTTTTTCATTGAGTGACAGAAGCTTGTAGGAGCTGCTGTGCGTTCATGAGAACCTGTGCAGACGTTCAGGGCATATCCTATCAAAGTTAACCCTTGAAGATCCATAAACTAGGTAAAATCCTGCAGTTCATTGGAAAGTTTAGTTAAAGCTTCATTCTTCCCTTCATTCTTGCTTGGTAGTACAGGTTCCTCTCCTGTACTATAAATTGCTTACTCTGATTTCACTGCAAATTGTGAGGTTCTTACAGTGAGCATTAGAAGCGACAGCAGGCCAGATAGAGCCTGCCTCATTTCCTGGCTGGAGGGCATTCAGCAATATCTAGCACCGTCCGTGTCCCCCGCCCCTCCCCCCCCCCACCTTACTGTCCCTGTCCTGCCCCTTTCATTCATTGGATTTCAGCTATTTCAATCATGGAGACTCAGCATCAAATGTGGGCATTACGAAGAGCAATCTGCTTGCAAATGCAGCCTGCCTAGACATCTCCACTCCTCCAGACAGACATACATTCATGTGCACGCATATGGTGAATAATCGTTATATGGTATCCTATATTAATTCATTTTTGAAGATGTGTCTGCCATCTATAGCTTATGGCAGAGCACTCTTGCAATGACTAAGCAAATCACTGGACATCTTAATTTCATAAGGGTCCCCAATTCCACAGAAATATCACTGCTTATACGTTATCTGCACACCTACTGATAGTCTCTAGAGTTACGGCCATTGCTGGTCTACAGGTGCTTCCTGAAGTAATGCAAATCTTTAAGAACCAAATCTATTTTTCTGCCTGGGCCGGGTGTATTTAAAAGGCACTGCATCCTCCATGGGCAATGTGACATGTCTAAAAAGTCTGATGACCGCTGTATCAAAAAGAGGGTCTGCATCTAAGCAATGCACTTCATCTTCCTTATATTGGTACATCTGAGCAAGCCTATTTGTGATGTCCCTCGAGTTAGCGCCGCTCGCCGACTTCGTTCCAGGCTGGAACGCATCGGCCGGGGTGACCTGCGCAGGACTCCTTCCCCATGACGGAAGCTACTATGCGTTCCACCCTGGAACGCGGAAGTACGCCGCGGCCGCGTGACGTCACGGCCGCGGGCTATTTAAACCTGCCGGGAATGATGTGGGGTGTTCTTAATGTGTGGGGGTTTTAAGTAATTTTCAGGCCTAAAATGTGGAATATAACATGGGTGCAAAAAATGAAAAAAAGGCCTCAGTCATGAAGGGGTTAAGACTTCTAAGCACTTGTGTTGGATCCTATACGCTGCCACCTGGTGGAGCCTCACGGTATCAACTATTCCTACTGCAATACTAATCTACCTAAGTTCTTTAAATTGAAGTGCTACTGCTGTTTTGACATAAAGACTGCCTTATCCATTTAACTTACAATTACTAGATGTGATTACCTAATGAGGAATATGACTCAATATTCTTGAAGCAACTTCACCTTCTGTTAATTACCTATTATTTAGCGGTTCATGATGTCTCAATCCCAAACTCTCCGCTTGTGATTGAGAGAACCGCCTGGGATTAAGCCTGGCAACCGCCTAAAACCACAGTTAAAACCGCAGCTGAGATCCACCGTACCCTTTCCATGTAGGGCTCCTGACAGAATACTCAAACCTTAAAACATTATGGATCCAGCGGAACTAACCTCCTATGTATTGGCCCTCGCCCAGAAGGTCAAAGCGCTGACGCTTACTCTTCAAGCGGTCCGCCATGAGAACCAGACCTTACGCCCCCAAATCCCCGCCAGTCCGGTCCCCAACAGAGAGCTGCCCGAACCCAAGGTTAGCCCTCCAGATCTCTTCACTGGTGACCGACGCAGATGCAGGGAGTTCATTAACGCCAACAAGTTATTGTTTGAACTGCAACCCAGGACTTACCCTACTGACAAGGTTAAAGTTCTCACTTTAATCTCTTACGTTAGAGGCGAGCCCAGAGCCTGGGCAGATACCTACGTGGAGAAAGAGGATCAAATACTTAACTCTTTCCCTGCATTCCTGGAGAACATGTCACGGTTGTATGAAGACTCCACAAAGCAGCTGACAGCCGAAACCGCCATTAGAGCGCTGAAACAAGGAAGGAGACCAGTAGAAGACTACGTCGCTGAATTCACCAAATGGTCCAGGGAGACTGAGTGGACTGACGTAAGTCTGCAAAACCAGTTCCGTCTCGGACTTTCAGAGGCGATGAAGGACGAGCTCGCTCGTGCAGATCTTCCCCCTACCCTAGAGGAGATAATTCAACTAGCCATCTCCATAGACAGAAGACTCCGTGAGAGGAGAACAGAACGGGTCTCGGTTACTACCACTCACCCAATCTTAGGAGTTCTCCCCCTGCGGAGGAGCCAATGGAGGTTGGAGCCATCCGGGGTCCCCTGTCCCAGTCGGAGAGAAACCAAAGAAGGGAGAAGCATCTCTGCCTCTATTGCGCTTCCCCAAGGCATACAGTCGCTAGCTGTCCTCAGGCTAACCCCAAGGCCGAAGGTAACCTACACCCCATCTGTAAGCTGACTCCTACCATTACGCAACCCCATGCTTATACAGGTTAAACTCGAATAATTAGAATATCGTGCAAAAGTAATTGCAGTAAGTGCTGCAAAAGGGGCCCAAACCAAGTACTGAGTACATATGCATGCTGGTACTTTTCAGAGGTCCGATATTGTTCTATGTACAATCCTTGTTTTATTGATTGCATGTAATAATCTACTTTTTTGAGGTTGTGGATTTGGGATTCTTGGGGTTTTCATGAGCTGTAAGCCATAATCATCACAATTATGACAAATCACGGCTTGAATTATCTTGCTTTGCATGTAATGAGTCTCTCTCATATATTAGTTTCACCTTTTAAGTTGCATTAGTGAAATAAATGAACTTTGCACGATATTCTAATTGTTCGAGTTTCACCTGTATATTTCTCTCTTTGACCTTGCAGTGGGATCAAGAGAGGATCGTCTCTGAAGCTATGATCGACACAGGCGCATGTGGTAGTTTCATCGACCAAAAACTTGTTGATTAAAATAAAATACCCCAAGTTAAACGAACCACTCCGTTGTCTGTCAGTTTCTTAGATGGGTCCAAGGCTCCTTCAGGTCCAATCTGTTACCAGACACAACCCCTGCTTGTTTCCTGTGACAAGAACCATACTGAATTCCTTTCACTGGAGGTCATCTCCTCTCTGGTTTTCCCCATTGTACTCGGCCTACCGTGGCTCAAGCTCCATCAACCTACCTTCCTGTGGGAGGAACAGACTCTCCGACTACGGTCTAACTATTGCAAGGAGACGTGTTATCCCGTAACACCTCTGCTGTCCGTCACCAACAACGATGCCCCACCCCAGTACAAGGACTTCGCAGAGGTCTTCAGTGTGCGCATGGCAGAGTCCTTACCACCACATAGGCCATACGATTGTCCTATAGACCTGATTTCCGGGAAGCACTATCCACACTGGCCGGATAAACCCTCTCTCGGAACCCGAGCTACTCCACCTCAAAGGGTACCTGGATGACAACCTTAGGAAGGGTTTCATCAGACCTTCCACCTCACCAGCCAGTGCTGGAATGTTCTTTGTGAAGAACAAGGACGGCTCACTTAGACCTATTATCGACTATAGAGCCCTCAACAAAATCACAGTGAAAAATCGCTACCCTCTTCCGTTAATACCCGAGCTTATCGATAGGCTACAAGATGCCCGAATCTTTACTAAACTCGATCTACGCGGGGCGTATAACCTCATTAGAGTCCGTCAGGGAGATGAATGGAAGACAGCCTTCAAAACAAGATACGGTCTTTTTGAATACACCGTCATGCCCTTCGTATTATGCAACGCCCCTGCCACCTTCCAACACCTGATAAACGACATCTTCAGAGACCTTCTCGATGTCTGTGTTGTCGTGTATCTTGACGACATTCTAGTCTACTCCAAGGATCTAGAGAGTCACAGAAAACATGTCAGATGGATCCTCTCCTGACTCAGGGCTCACTCCCTATACGTTAAGTTGTCAAAATGTGTCTTCGAACAACGCACTATATCCTTCCTGGTGTATGTAATATCTCCCCTGGGCATAGAGATGGATCAAGCGAAAATAGACTGTATCGTGAAGTGGCCAGTTCCAAGGAACAGGAAGGCCCTACAACGCTTCCTCGGCTTCTCCAACTATTACAGGAAATTTATACGAAACTTCTCCTCTATTGTCAAGCCTCTGACTGCTCTCACTGGTTCCAAGACCAACTTCTCATGGTCCCCCCAAGCCGAAAAGGCCTTCACAATACTGAAAGAAAACTTCACCTCAGCCCCAATCCTGCAGTTGCCAAACCCGGAGTGCCATTACGTACTGGAGGTTGATGCCTCTCATGTTGCTGTTGGGGGTGTGTTATCACAGCGTAAGGGTCTGGATACTCCGCTGCACCCCGTGGCCTTTTTCTCTAGAACCCTCACCACCGCTGAAACGAACTCCCCCATAGAACTCCTCGCAATTAAGGTTGCGCTAAAGACCTGGAGACACCTACTCGAGGGAACAAGATACCCGTTCACCATCTTTACTGACCATCGTAATCTTCAGTATCTCAAGACCTGCAAAACCCTCTCGGGCAGACAAGTCAGATGGAGTTTGTTTTTCGATCGTTTCGATTTCATCATTTCATATCGTCCCGGTACACGTAACGGCAAGGCTGATCCCCTTTCTCGGATTCACGAAGAGGATCCTGTAACTCATTCACCTACTCCAATAATTTCGGCCTCCAAGTTCCTCGGTTCTACCATACCCTTCGAGGAACAAATTAGAAACAGCCTACCTACTAACCCGGATTCCCTTCCTCCGGGTCTCACCACGGACGATGAAGGTTTCCTTTACAAAGATACCAGGATGTACGTTCCGCCCTCCATGCAATCCACAGTCTTACGCTTACTTCATGATGCTCCCCTAGCGGGTCATCCTGGTTACATCAAGACTCTCAACTTAATCAAAAGGCAATTCTGGTGGCCACGCATGAAGGACACTATTCTAGATTATGTCACCACTTTTACGATCTAAGACGACGTCCACCTCCAACTTACCAGGTGGGTGAAAAGGTCTGGCTCTCCACCCGAAACTTGAGGCTGAAGGTTCCTTCTAAAAAAATAGGGAGGCACTTAATCGGACCTTACGTTATCGAAAAGGTGATCAACCCTAATGCAGTGCGTCTAGTGTTGCCCCCTGAACTGCAGGTCCACCCGTCGTTCCATGTTTCCTTACTAAAACCCTTCAGGGCCGACCCTTTTCCAAACAGGGCTCCTCAACCTGCTCCCCCCGTAGAGGTACAGGGAGAGATCGAGTATGAGGTCCAGCAGATCCTCGACTCCAGAAGACGTGGCAGGACCTTGCAATACCTCATCCGCTGGAAGGGTTATGGTCCTCATGAGGATTCATGGGAGAGTGCTCAAGATGTACATGCTCCACTTCTGAAGAGACGGTTTCATAGCAGGTATCCCTCCAAGCCGTTACCCTCGTGGAACCCGGAGGGCATCCCTTAAGGAGGGGGTACTGTGATGTCCCTCGGGTTAGCGCCACTCGCCGACTGCGTTCCAGGCTGGAACGCATCGGCCGGGGTGACCGGCGCAGGCCTCCTTCCCCATGACGGAAGCTACTATGCGTTCCACCCTGGAACGCGGAAGTACGCCGCGGCCGCGTGATGTCACGGCCGCGGGCTATTTAAACCTGCCGGGAATGCTGTGGGGTGTTCGAGTATTGGGATCATTGCCCATACACCCCAGGAATCTCTCCAAATCCCTGGACATACGCCGAACCGGATCCCGACTGTTCCCCAGCAGCCAGCCTCCTGTGGACTCCTCTGCAATTGAGCTATTTGCTTCAACAGCCAAACCGCAAGTATCTGCTTAACCCCTTCGTGACTGACGACGTACAGTGTACGTCGCCAGCATCAGGGCTGTTTGAACAGACTCCCGGCGACTTTTGCCACCGGGACTCTGTTTAAACTTGTAGAGCCGACTGTCGGCTTTACAACAAAAGCGCTTCTGGCGAACAGCCAAACCGCAAGTATCTGCTTAAAGGAGAACTATGGGGTCAGTGTTTTTCCCCATAGTTGTCCTTAGGGTAACGGGAGGACACAAACTAGCGTCCTCCCGTTACCCTAAGCTCAATATACCACGAGCTACAGCTCGCGGTATACTGAGACGCCGCAGCCGGAGTGGATCCCGACTTAGACGTCGGGATCTGCCCAGCTGCGTGAGTGACAGCTGGCTCTGCCTATCTAGAGGCAGAGCCAGCTGTACCCGCCCCCTCCCCCGTCCGTTCCGCCAGTCAGCGCTGGCAGATCGGAGCGGGGAGAGGGGAATCCAGCCCCTCCCCATGTCACGGCAGAGAGCCGTGACAGGATCGAGAGGTGACCGAACCCGGTATGTGTTCGCTCACCTCCTGATCTACTGAGCCGACCTGTGACAGTCTCATTGTCACAGGTCGGCTAGAACTATGAGATGAGTGGAAATCACTCATCTCATAGTTCTCCTTTAAGACTTCTATGCACTTGTGTTGGATGATCCATTACGCTGCCACCTGGTGGAGCCTCACAGTATCAACTATTCCTACTGCAATACTAATCTACCTAAGTTCTTTAAATTGAAGTGCTACTGCTGTTTTGACATAAAGACTGCCTTATCCATTTAACTTACAATTACTAGATGTGATTACCTAATGAGGAATATGACTCAATATTCTTGAAGCAACTTCACCTTCTGTTAATTACCTATTATTTAGCGGTTCATGATGTCTCAATCCCAAACTCTCCGCAGCTAGTTAGAACCGCAGCTGAGATCCACCGTACCCTTTCTACGGACGGGCCCCTGACACTATTAGACAGTGAGAGTTTTCTCTCCACTCTCTTCCACTTCTCAAAAATTACTTCTCTAATTTACTTAATTAGAGAAATGTCGGAAAGTTTTTCTAAGACGAGGATACTACTACTTTATCTTGGTTGGTGAATTCATGGACTCCTAATTAATAGTTTCTTTAATTCCTTTCACTAGTGGCCAAACAAGAGCAAAGTCAAAGCCTAAACCAAGAGCGTCCGCTGACACGGACATATCTCCTGAAAGAATGAGGATACTACTACTTTGCCTTGGTTGAAGATTTCATCGACTCCTTCTAATTAATAGTTTCTTTAATTTCTTTGACTAGGGGCTAAAGAAGAGCAAAGTCAAAGCCTAAACCAAGAGGATCCTCTGACAGGGAAATATCTCCTGAAAGAATGCATGTGAGGATTCTCTAACCAGCTGCGGTACCTCAATACCAGTGGGGTGCAAGTTACAAATGTAGCCACCCCATGGTTAGGTTTAGTATCTGACAATTCATGCATAGAGTTATGGTATTCCTAATAAGAACAAAAACTTCAATTTTCTCCGCTTCTTTGTTTTTAGCAGCCTCTAAAAGCCAGAATTGGCACAATATTTTATGAGGTAGCGCCATCTGACCACAAGCCCAACACTGGTTAAAGTTTGGATAATCCTTATGATGCAAAGCCTTCCCTTTAGCCCCACCTTGATAGCAGGTCTGGAATTGCATAGCAAGTTCTCTGGTTTGAAGAGGACCTGTCACGGCAGTGAGAGCGAGCAATTTCTTGAGGAGCAGTGCTGCTTTTGAGGGCTGGAAAGATTTTACAATCCATTAGCCCATATGTGCACTCCTCTGAACAGGCATAATGGTGGAACAAACCTCCAGGCTGCTTTTCGATGTTGTGCACTGGTGTGATCCACCACCTCTGTTTAATTGACCAAACAGAGAACATGAGGCATTGCTGAGCCACCACATCATCATGCCCAAGTATGCCACGTCTTCATCCATGACTAATGTGTCCTCTGTTGACCTGGACCAATAGCTTCTGCAATCTGGGCCAGATCAACAGCACATGACCAGATCCATCTACAGACATGCAGGCCTAAGACCTCCCAGAAGTGAACTGGTGTCCTGAATGCGACACCATGATGGAGGAGGCAGTAACAGAGATCCTAGGATAATGAAGCCTGCTTCCCCAAGATTACACAGAATGGAGAGGCTTACCTTATAATGCACATTTAGATACCCGAACAGAGGTCATTTCATACAGGAGAGGCATGAACTGTATGTTGAATAAATGGGAATATAAGTCTCCATTCTCGCAATATTTTTAAAACACGTCCCAATCTTTTGAAAGTGAAATAATAGAAAGCAAAGAGGATGGCTTGTGTGCTAATATACAGTATTTAAAGATACTGTAAATATGTCACAAGACATTACCAGGGTATTATTTATTTGTTGCTCATCTATACATCTTGTGCAGTTGGCTACCCTATTCCCATTCTCAAAATTCTGGTTGCTGAGATCTTTCTGATTTCAATAACCTTAAAAGCATATATTTCCTTCTTCTAACCACCCTATGTAGCTGTCAGAGAAGGAGATTACACCGTAAAGAACTGTAACATTAAGCTGCAGTACTGCCCAGGAGAACTGTGAAAAACCTGGTGAATCAGTGCAATAGATTATTTAAAGCGTACACAAAGGAAAAATGTTTTTTTTTAAAGTTTTGAATAAAGTGGGGAAGGGTTACACACTCTGTCTGTTTTTTATAGTTGTCTGTGTCCCAGCTGGGAATAGTCACTCTTTGTCAGCATGACCATTGTCCCTGAGGTGGAGAGGTGAAATAGTATCTTACATAGTCACGCAAAACACCAAGTCTAGCACCCCCCATGCAGTGACTAGAGCTGCCTGCTGTGCAGAATGTTGAGCGAGTCCTTCACATTTTATTGACTCTTAAGACTGTCAGTATGTGCAGTTGTTAGAGTGAGTACTGCCTTCATCATTTGGCTGGGAGCCTCCCAAGTCATCCCTACAATATCTCTCACTTGTCCATGTTGGAGGATCAGATATGACAACACTATTTAGTCCAATTCCAGACAATATTTTTTATTTTTTTATTTTGGCCAGATATGGGAAAGGGTGAG